TTATATATTATAAATATATGATAAGTGCCAAAAAATTATTTTTAAATATAAAATATTATATCATTTAAATTATATATATATAAAAAAGTAAGCATGATTTATTTTATCTAAAAAATGGTACTATCATGTATGTTTATTTTATTTTTAATTATTTAAAAAAATATTTTATAGTAATAAAAATAATATATATATATATATATATATATATATATATAATTATAATATTTTAAAAAATAATTAAATGAGGTATATTGCTTAAGTAGGTTAAATTTTTTGCCATTTTTATTTATTTATTTTTATAAAGTTTTTATTTCAATTTTATATAGTATATACATATAAATATAACTATATTTTGGATTTTTAATAAAATATTGATTTTGTTGATTTATCAAAAAAAACATTAAATAGTAGTAAATTTACCTAATATAAAAAATTAAAAAAAATAAAAAAAATAAAAAAAATCTTATAATTTAGACTTAGGAATGGTCACCAAATATTATAGAAGGATGGAATCAAATTAAATGTCAAAAATAAATAAATAAATAAAATAAAATAAAATACAAAATATGAAAATAATAATAAAATAAACATGAATATATATATATGTACTTATTCAATAAATTATAAAATCATATATCTATATTAAAATAGAAAGTAAAGAAATAGAATTTATAAACATAAAATATTCAAAACTATAATCAGCATTTTTTTAAAAGAATCAATAAGAATTTAAATCTCATTCAAGAAAATAATTTTTAATTAATAAAGGAGAAAAATATTGAGGTTATTTGATAAATGTTATCAACTCTGTGATTTAAAATTTAATAATTTTGCAACAATCGTTCAAAGCCAACAATGTGAGCTACGACAAAATTGACTTGGCAAGCATGAATTATTTGACGTTCCCTAAAGTTCTCCAATATTTCCAAAAAGGATCTCAAAGATGTACAATAATGAGACACTGTGAATCTCACATGTTTGCATGACTGATCCATTCCATGTGCGAGAGAGAGGATCTAGTCTGACTTGAATAGAAGTTCTTAAGTTCTTTTTGGTGGAGAATATTTGAGCTACTTGAGACTTTGTAAGACATGTATCTTAACTTGCAAGGCAAGTTTTTCATATATGCGCCATGTAGTTAGATTGTTCCACAAGCTACTAATATATGATTAACTTGTTGACCAAGTTTCTAACCTATCAATAAACTATAAATACATGTAAAGTCAAAGTAGCTTCTATGAAGCTTTTAAGAAGCTTTTCTATAAAATATTATGAAATAAATTTATTTTTATGTACTTCTACTTAATCATATAGATAAAAATTAGAATAAATATGTATATTTGTAGCATTATCTTTCTTTCTAGGGATGAATTTCATGAAGAGCAATCATCATCTTTCATGGAACTTAAAATTCTTCATCTTGATTTTGATGGATATCATTGATAAAAAGCCTCAATTTTCTTTGTTGCATTTACAAGATTCTTTGCTAACTTTTATGTGCATTCACAAATATCATATCTATGCCAATGAATAAGATATTCCAACCTATTTTAGATGTCATCTTAAATCTAAGACTTCTTCCACCTCGAATTCTTGATTATTATCTACTTTTATAAGAAGAGGTGGTATTTGTCTTCTTTTCAAGATATTCATTATTTTATATGGCTCAAAAAAAAAGATACATAGAATATATGATGGATCTTCATAGACTTTAATAAATGTAATCGATAACTAATATAATTGATTTTTTTACAAATAGAAAAAAATCCAATCCTACGATAGTCCAACTTGTCACAAGAACAAATAGACTTAACATTATAATAGAATAATCATATCTTGTTACCCATGTTGAATTGTGGTTGTTCTTTGCAATAGGCATCCACATTGATCTTTTGTTGTTTTTAAGCTTTCTTTAATTATGTGTTTATTATTGCATGTAGTTCTAACAAATAATTTGCCAAATCTTTTACCACATGTTTATCAACTTTGAAAAAGTCAAAAGTATTAAATCATTGATGATTACCATAATTAGTAAAAAATATATTTGTTGAGTATAAGAATGTATCAAATTATTGTATACAAACACTACCAATGTCAAAGGAGTTATCTAATTATCTTGGTGATAATTAATGGTACACCTCAAATACTATTCTATCAAGGAGAAGAACATGATAAAGCATTGGCATGTATTTGTGCTTCCATCGTTTGAAATGATATCACCTAAAAAATCAACTTTAGTAGTGTAGAATACACACTTTTTTATTTTGACATAAACTCTCATATCTCTTAATTTTTGTAATACATGACAAATAAGAAAGTCATGCTCTTTTGTGTTTTTAGAATAGATCAAGATGTCATCTAGATAACAGACAATAAAATCGTCCAAAAACTCTCAAAAAACATCATTCATAAGATGTTGAAAAGCTATTGATGTATTTATAAGTCCAAAAGGCATGACATTATATTCAAAATGTCCATACCTGGTTTGAAATGTAATCTTCCATTCATCTCCTTATTTAATGTGTATCAAATTATATACTCTTCGTAGATCTATTTTTGTATAGATCTTAGTTTGATTCAATTGATCAAGAAGTCTAGATATTAAAGGTAGTGGATATATGTTCTTGATGGTGATCTTGTTGAGTCCTCGATAATCAACACACATCTATAATGATCCATCTTTTTTCTTGACAAATAGAATTGAGGCTCTTCCTAGAGATTTGGAATGGCATATGAAATTCTTGACTAAATTCTCTTCAATATATTCTTTGAGTTCAGCCAATTCATTTTATAATAAATTATAGATTGATCCAAATGGCAGTTGTATTATTTCTTGAAGGTCAATTGAGCAGTCATAGGGACGATGTTCTAAAAGAATATTTGTATTCTTTTTTTTCAAATACATCTTTAAAATCTTAATATTGGCTTAGAATACCACTTAAAGTCTTTGTACTATTAAAAACAGATGTGGCATAAATGACACAAGATGATCTTTCTTTTGCAGCATGCAAAAAGCTCTTGTACCTATAAACATAGGTTTAATTGTATTAGACTTATGATTTTCTACTTGTTTAACTATACTCTTAGTTATATTTTTAGAAAAGTCAAGAGTACAAGAAATCTAATCTACTCAAGGATTGTATTTTTTTTAACTATAATAAACCTAAAATAATTGGATTAGATGGAGATCTAATGATATGAAATATTACAAAGCTATTATGACCATTAGTTATTACTTCTATAGGAAAGATTTTGTGAGTAACATCTTCAAAAGACAACGAGCGACCATCTATAACTTCTATGTGAATATGTTTAGTTTTCCTCACTAAAGATATATTAAATCTTTTAGCAGATTCTTCATATAAGAAACATGCTAAGGCTCTTGAATCTAACAATGCATAGGCTTTGTAATGTATAGGTCTTAAATTAATATTTAATATAAAATAAAGAGATGATTCTGAGGAAAAAATAAGACCTTCATTAGGTGTTTTATAAGGTTCTAGCCACATAGTCTCTATTGTAGCTGGAAAAACTCATTTTTTGATATATTATCTTCTTTGACATTCGTACTTCTCATTTTATAATTACGTCACTTCTTTTGACAATGTTGAGTAGTGTACTTAGGTTCTCCACAATATAAGGATAATCTTTCTTGATGACAACGAGTCTTTTCTTTCTCAATAAGAGATTTGAAATGTACTATATCAATTTGCATATCCTCTACTTCTGAATGTATGTGTTGAAGAGGCATTGGTATTGCCATTGAATTATAGTAACGTTGAAGCCCACTTATCCAACTGTCAGATCAAAATTTGAAAAGCCAATTGTCACACTTCATAGCAAAGTCAATTCCTTGACTCAATATTTCATGATCAAGTAAGTTTAGCATCAATTTCTTTACTTCATATTGTAATCCATAGAAAAATTGGCTAACCCTTGAGTAGATTAGATTTCTTGTACTCTAAGTGCAGCATCATAGCACTTGATATCAATTGTAAGTTGTCAAAATTGTGAAGCATATAACGTTACCGATTGATTGTCTTATTACAAAATATGGATCTTATTAGTTGCAATACAAATTGCATCATGTTTTCCATATATGGATCAAAATTTTGCCAAAAAAACCTCCAAATTATCCAATATTGGATCTTGTCATTCAAGAAAAGATGAAAACCAAGATAATGTTGAATCTAAAAGAAGTGTATCAATGAATCTAACTTGTGATCCTAGAGTTGGATAGCTTTGAGGTTGAAATTCAATCACAAATTGTAGTTGATTAATAAATCCTCAAAACTTAGATCTTATGCTATCAAACTTCTCAAGCAAGGCAATTCTTCGTGCTCTAGTATCATATGGATGTTCTATTATAGGAGAAAGGATATGATTGGATGCAGACATTGAAGCAACTCCAATCATATCTAAATCTTCACTTCCTACTATTCTTTTTACTCCTTGTAGTCATAAACTGAGTTGATGCATCACAAGCATTAACTCCTTCAATTGCTCTTATATTTGTACCATTGTACTCTTCATTTCAACAAGCTCTATGATAATAATACTCAAAAAATAAATATCTAATATTACTCAAGACAAGTAGAAGAGGGGACTTGAAAAAAAAAAAATACTAAGAACAATATTAGTTTAAATAAGGATAAATTTCAACTTCTAATACTCTTATGTCTTATCAAGAAAAAAAGATAATCCACTCTTAATTAAGAAAAGATAAAGCTCTAATATTGTAAGTGTACTCTTGTCAATCTGTCAAAGACATGAATTGGAAGAAGATGCATAAACCTGAAAAATCTATATTAAAAGAAAAGTAATAAAATAGTAATAAAATAGTATGTATATTAAAGAAAACTGAAATGATTGTTACCAAAAGACAAAGAAACTAGACACTCTTAAATCTAGACTAGAAGCAAGAGAGTAATTCACAAGAGTGAAGAGGGCTTCACTCTTGCCTCTATATATACTATCTAACTAGGAGCTATGTGGTGATGTTCTATAGGACCTCTCATATGTATTGACTTTACAAGACACATGACTTAGCTTACAACACAAGTTTTCTATGTGTGGGCGACATAATTAGCTTGTTCTTCAAACTACCAACATGTATGGTACATGGCCAACTTGTAGACCGCGTTTCTAATCTAAAAAGTCAATTATAGATACCTATAAAGTCAAAACAACATCTATGAAGCTTCTATAGAAAATATTATGGAATTAACTTACTTTTATCTAAATCATATAGGTAATTATTGGTTTACATGTATATGTTCGTGATACTAATCACCTTAGCAAAAGAGTATGAGCCTTGCAAGCAATTAAGTAATAATTTCTAAAGAGTTTTGTTTCTCAAGGCTACAAAATTAAATAAGAACATAAATTTCTTCACTAAGATTCTACAACTAGATTCTAATGCATCAATAGCCACTTTTTTCTATTCTTTTATTGCTTTTATTTTCTTTAAAATATTCTCTCATTCTTATATGTTTTATTAATATTTTCTAACATTTTCTTAACATCTAAAAACTTTTGTCCAAAGACCTTCTTAATTGTTATTATTTGATTCTATAAGGTATTAGCATCAATATAATTGGCGATCTCAATTTAATAATTAATTACAATAAATTCTATTTGTTAAAATATTGATGAATTATATTCCAAAAAAAAATTAATATATAAACCAAGAAACTTCACAAAATTTAAAAAGAACGTAAATTATAAACAATGAATTATAAAATTAAAAACAAGTTACTTAATAAAATAAATTTATAACTTCATTTCTAAAGTTAAATTAACACACCTAGAATTAGTATTTTAAAGTCACTAATGTACAACATTATCCATTAATTGCTAAAGAGATATCCAACATGTTTGATATTTAAAATAAAAACAAAACAAGCAAAGACCAAAGAAGTGAAAGGCAATTGGAGGATTCTATGAGGGTAATCACATGACAAGAAATGGTGGCATTGCTTAAAAGCATTTGCAAAGGTTGTCTGGACATGGCAAAACCCTAAACCAAAAGAAGCCACTTTCTAAAATTTGATAAATATAAGTAAGAGAATGTTAAATAGATCCAAACTTTTACTAAATCAATCCACCCATCCTAACCATCATGAAAAAAAAGACCTCTGCATTCATTTGAGTATTCCTAGATCTACAACCAATAAAAACCAACCTCATTCATCATGATTACCATATAGCTTTATCCTGAGTGGGTCAATTTATTAAAACACCTGGATAGTGCTGTACCTCTTTGACGGCCTTCGGGTTGCACCAGATATCGGTACTTTCAGTCACCACCGCAATTTGTCACCGCAGATCAAAACACTTACGGCACGACTAATTCACCTTCCACGCAGCCAGGTCAATTTGTAGTGGATTAATTTCAGCCTCGATGCTGCAAACCACATGCCTGAACCGTCGGATCTGATGGATTACTGATAAAGCTTCTGGGTTGCCGTGCATCGGTGTCTCACTCTTGTTTTGCTCAAAATCCAATTTCTTCAGATTCCTTCCAATTCTTTCGAATCTACAGGTGGTGCCCACGGCGAAAAGAGGGACGAAAACCCAATAAAATATTTCGCCCTAGGAGAAGAGCCGCCGTAACCCGCCAATGCCACAGATCTTTAGCAAGACCTGCGCTTGGGACCACATACTTAATAAGAATAAGGTACACCATTCACCATTGTTTGTCCTCTCTGTCAGCCTACCAGCCTTTGCTACCACTTCGTCCCACAAAAATCAGAGAGTTCTCAGCTTTGCAGTCAGACGCATGGTCGGCGTCCGTAACGAGGTAGATTTTTAGATTGCTACACTGGACTTAGATTCAAACAAGACTCTTGCACAAATACACGTGTGCGTGTTTCAACCGGCCAAGCACTGCAGCCGTCCAACCAGTAGGAGAAGAGCTCCAAAGGACAGGGGCCCAATGTTATGCCTGGCACCGCCCGATTGCATGGCCCTATGCCACCATCTCCCTTTATATCAAACGACCAGGACAAAGTTCGATAACTTCTCATGAAGGGGACATCGAAATGTGTTTTTTTGCGACTAGCTTGTGAAGGATCCGGACGCAGTGGGCGCTGTTTTGATCTGCACTTTGCGAAACCAGAGAGGAAGTTGTGTAGAAATACTGTAGCTAATTGGTGGTTGTAGCGACAATCCTCAGCGATGCCGAACCTCATGAGCATGGAAGATGTAAGTCTTGCAAACAATAATCCTTTGTATTGCATTACATGTAAACAACAACCAGAACTAGACTGAAATTTCGTATCCTGAGCTGCATTACTATTCGGTAACTCTTGGAATGTGTACCACTACCCTGTTTAGCATGCAAACCTGCAGAGTTGGGTGGCCGCACTGCCACAGTGCTTAATGGAGCTCTGGTTAGTTTAGCGTCGCCTAGTTTTCTGAGGCTTGGTTTTGCATCTGGGTTTGGGTAGGATATTGACAAGAGGTTGGCCTTTTGTGTGATGCAGTTGTTTTATGGTGTTCCAGAGCCAACCTGGATTCTGCCAACACGTGATGCAACGCCGCCGCGGTATCTTCACAAAGAGCGGGAGTTCTTAGAGCCTCCTCGAAGGCCGTACAAACCAGAGCCGCCTCGCCCCGTCGTTCACTATAATCCGCGCGCACCTGTGCAACACGACATCCGGCCTATCGAGCGGCTCGCTCGCGTGCACACGGTGCCCGAGCCCGTGCCGGTCGCCACGCAAGAAGAGATTCGCAAAGTCGTGGAAGTGCCAACTGCGGTCCCTATCACAGCACCAGTTCCAACTGTTGAACCGCATCCTCCCGTTGTCACGAAGGAAATAATTCCACCGATTCATCGGCCCCTCATCCATCACGTAAGTCCAAAAAACATCGAAGCCCTAAAATGGGACTTGGAATGGTGCTGTTAAGAGATCGAGGACAAAACTAACGATGACAATTCTCTTGTTGTATTGCGCACAGCCAATCGAACTAAGGGTGCCGATGTGCTGCGAGAAATGCATCAAGAAGGTGAGGGACAGGCTTGAGGATTTGGAAGGTGTAGAGAACGTCGTCACTGATCAGTACAACCAAAAGGTAGTCGTCTACGGGCACGTCGACCCGGCTCGCGTTCTCAACCGCGTAAAACTCGTCAAGAAGCGATCTGAATACTGGGACATGACCGTGGATTACAGCGACGAGTATCGCCGTGCTCGCCAAGCACAAGCCGAAGCCACGAGAGCCGAAGCAGTGAGAGCCGAAACCGCGAGGGCCGAGGCGATCAAAGCACAAACACATGCCAAGGCTCTGGTTGCGCCAACCTCAGTCTCCGAGCCTCCAAGAGTGATGGTGAATTTGCCGCAGGAGCACAATGGTCCCAAAGTGACAGCCATCCTGCCAGCGGAGAGGGAGAGCGCCATGCCATATGTCGTAAATCCTCGACACCACAGCGAACGGTATGTGAGCCCACCAAGAGCTTCCAGACGCGAAATGTTTGCAGAACCTCGGCGAGGGATGAGGAGACCAGAGTTTTACAGCGACAGACATCCGGATGCCTACACAGTCTACTGAAAAACAAAATTTCGGTGAACGATTCATTAGTACAAGCTGAGTTGACGATGAGATGCGTGGGTTGCACATATGCAGTGCTGCTCCTTAGTTTTGACATTGTAGCATGTCTTCGAAGCGGGGTGAACTGCACCAATGCGCGTGGACTCGTACAGTCTAGACCCAATTCTTTGTGAAATACAATAACTGTAAATTTCGGTAGCGGATCCCCTCTCTTCGGTGGGTCCTGTGGCTAAGACCGCCCACTCACTGCGATGTCGGCGTCCAGGCTTCGACATGCTTCGACGACGACGACGACTGTGAAGGGTCTCGAAGACGGTGAAGGGACTCGACGACGGCATCCTTGTTTTTATCTTAAAACACAATTGTGAGGTCACGAAAACTCTAAATTGGAGAAACTAATTTGGGTGGTGGTGGTGGTGACTATGGTTGTGACATTTGGAGAATTGGCTCTTAATGATGGTGAAGGAAGAAAAGAGTTCTTGTTTAGAATATCTTTTTTGTAAATTTGTAGGATTTTTTTTTTTTTTTTTTTTTTTTTTGCTCTTATTTGGTATCATTTTAAATAAATTTCAAAAAGATTATTTTTGGAAGACTATTTGATTTGGCTTGAAGAGCTTGCCATGGATCTTACTTTGGTTATGTTTAATGTGGGTATACCTCTAATTAGGATCTTACTTTGGTTATGTTTAATGTGGGTATACCTCTAATTAGGATCTTACTTTGGTTATGTTTGATGTGGGTATATCTCTAATTAGAATCAATGAGATGTTTATGGCTATCAATGAGATATTAATACATCTTTTATTCATTTCAATTCAATTAATTAGTATTTTAACTTATTTTTTATATCTATAAATGGGATGTTTTATTAAATTAAAATTAAGATAGGACAAAATGTCACCATTGAGGCTTTAAAAAGTTATATCATCATGCCCAAATTTCATCTTATAATATCATGCCACTCTCTATATATGAAAATGTGTGATATTATATACAAGAATTTAATCAAAACTATATCTCAATTAATTTAAGTGTTTTTGATATTAAAAAATTATATTAATCCTAAATTAAATAAACATAAATTTATTACTAGATGTTCTAAAAATCAAACTTGACATATTTTTATTTGTGTATAAAAATATTAAATATTATTTTTTAAAAATAAAAAAATAAATAAACAAACTATAATCAATTATTTTGTTTTAAACTCTTTAATTTTATTAGTCATTATAAATTAATATGAATTTTTATAAAAACATAAATTAAAATGTGTGAAAATACTACATTCAATTTTTTGCTTTTAAGAAACACTATTTAATGTACATGAAAATTAATCTTTTTTTATTTCAACATATTCAATTTGAATAAAAATAGAGATTATTAAAAATATAATTTAGTGGTTGTAAACTTGTACAATTTAGTACTACAATCTTTGGTGCATCTATATGTTTTGTCATTTATTCATGCTCCCTAGTTCCTTTGTTCTTATATTCGTATGTTCCCTAGTTCTCATGTTTCCTTGTTTACATGTTCTTTAATCCCTATATTCCCTTGTTCACATGTTCCTCAAGGCCAATTAAAAGACTTCTTTATTTCTTTGTACTTTATCCAAGCTATCTTATATAATAGATATATTTTTTTCTTTGTAATATATTTATTTATTTATTTAATTTGATACAATGCATGTAATATATATATATATATATATATGATATCTATTTTATAAATATATCTAACAATGCTATTAAAAAGAAATTAACATTGTATTAAATGGCATCTAAATGCATGCAAAAACTAATATTCAATTGTCAAATGACATAAGAAATCTGTGTGTGTGAATATATGTATATATTGTTCTAAAGTATGATCTTTGTTCAACCAATGCTTAATCTTATACAGTAGTTTATTAATTCTATACGTAGTTTTTTAGAATAAAAATAAAAAGAATAAAAAAAGTCACTTGAAATGACAAGATAATTTTTTTTATAAAGTAATATGCATAATCTATACATACATACATACATACATACATACATCCATATAGACTCTCATACAATTTTGTAACATGAAATTATTTTTTATTTTTTAGATGTTATAGAAAGACACATATTATACACAAATACTATTTTTTATAAAACTCACATTTTTTAGTGCAAATTTTATTTTTGCATTCTTATAATATATTTATTTTCAAATACACAATTTTAAAACACTATTCTTAAATCACTAATATTCTATAAGTAATACATTTCAAGGTAAAGTATATTGAAAAACCATAAATACTTCTACTGATAATCTATCACTTTCATCAACTACTCTACACTGTCTACATTTAAAACTCAAAAACACAAATCAACGCCTGAAAAGTATTTTCACGTGCTTTATAAAGGATTCTTCATAATAACATAATTTATTCAGAAAAATTTTAATTTACAAAAAAAAATTAAATTACATTCATCATGAATTTCAAATTCTATAATACATTTATACATTATCACAAATAATAATGATATTTATAACCTATAAAAATATTAATTGCTGTGAATTAAAATTGTTGTTTTGGATGCTTTTGAATCCCTTAAGAATACTAATCCTGATTGGAATGTTCTAAGGAGTAATTAAGATACATTGACTTGCTGGTCATAATTTATTTTGCGAAATTATTCTTATGCCTAAATATGGATAATGTAAGGTTTCTACTGTTCTTACTAGATTCTAAATTTATCCACCGTTGTTCCAACAGCACCACAGATTCTAACTTTATTATGCCCAGAAATCTAAATATTTCATGTTCTTTATTTGTGGTCGTGACATAGAGTAAAATAATCTTTATGTTTGTAATTTTTCCTTAATTTACCAAGTATTGGTCACATGAGAATCCTGACCAACAAATAGCTGCAAAATAATAAGATTTTGTCAGCAAGCATTTTTAACCAAGAAAATGAAGGTCGGCAAATGTCTTCCTTTGTTGCAGAACATCCTTTAATTCCAAGTATGGAATAACATACCATAGTCTAATAACATGGTGCCTAAATAATTTTAGAATAATTTTAAAATCAGAGATCAAGATTCAAAATACAAAATGAATCAAACCAATAATAAAAACAAATCAAATGCATTTTAGCTCGATATGAAAATTAAATAAATAAATAAATAAATAATAATAATAATAATAATAAACACACACACACACACACACAATTACACTGGGAATTAGAGAGAAGAAAAGAATACAATGCATAGATAAGAAAATCTAAATTTTGAGATTGACATTCTAAAATGTTAGCACTTTGCATGGAGAGTATGAAGGCACAGTAGAAGGTAAGAAAAAGACTAAAACATTAACTAGATAAAAACTGGAAAATACAACTTGGTCTAAGCAAGTTCACATTTCATACGATTTTTATATCATTCTTAAATTGGGGGGATTTACATACAGATTTCTACCTCTGATTTTTATTGCAGGAAAATTCTAACATCTTTTGGAAACTATTATACATAAACTCTAAGTGAATTCTAGATGACTTCGGGACAATCATTCAATCAAAGTTCTATTTCCTATGTCCTTGATTTATCTCCTTAATGTTGATTACTATTCTAATTCTTTAATATATAAGTCAATTTTCATATTCATAAATTAGATAAACATCACATTTTAAAGAATTTGAAGAAGAAAAAAAAACATTTGTATTGTAAGCGTAAACCTTTTGGGTATATATATATATATATATATATACATACATATATATATATATTGTAAAACCTTTTTATTGAAGGAGAAACTTTAAATTAAAGACACAAAATGTTTCACACAATTATTAAAAATAAAAAATAAAATAAAAATAAAAATAAAAAATCAAATAAAAATTGCCAGAATCTTACTAAGGTTAAAATTTTAAAATTATCAACAGTAAAATCCATTTTAACAAATTTTAGTTGTGCGTGGTACATTCTAATCAATATATATATATATATATATATATATTATTTTCATTTCAGAAAAGGTGGTGGTAAAAAAATCTGATTTGAGCATTTTGTTAAAATGTTTGGCATATTAGGTTGTAAAAAGTGTTATAAAAGATGACCATTCAGTTGATTTTAGAAGGTAATTTATAATACATGAAAAATAAATTACACTACAAGAAATAAAAAATAAATCAGAAAAAATAAATAATATTGATGCACACTATGTAGTTCTGATATACAAGTATTTTAATTTTAATTTTTTAAAATAAAAATAAAGTATTCAGATCGTCAATCTGATTTACTAAACCTTAATTTTATTCTGATGCATTTAACCAAAATTTTCAAACTGTGAAACAAAAAAACCTATCAATTGATTTATTTATTTAAAAGGCATATCTTTGTAGCTTTATACTTTTCAGTGTTATTAATATTTAAGGCCCATGTATTATTTTTAGAGTAACGTGTTATAATAATTTGTTAATATATTTAATAACCTAAATTTTAATAAATAAGAAATAATACAAATAATTAAAATTAAGATCTATAAAAAAAACATATCATTAGTAATATATATATATATATATATATATATATATATATATTTAATTTGAAAGAAATCATGTATATGTTTTTTTATTTTTTTATTTTTTTTATTTTTTTATTATAATCATCTTTTTTTAAATAATTAAAACTTATAAAAATATATTTTGTATAAAAATATATGTATATATATATATATATATATATAAATGATTTTGGTTTGTAGTAAATTTTAATATTTTCTATTTGAAAAACTAATATATATATATATATATATATATATATATATATATATATATATTAAAAATTCTAGAATATAATTTTATGTTCAATTATAAAATATCTAAGGTAAACATGTTTTTAAATTTTATTAATATAATATATAGAGAGAGAGAAACTATGTACTTGTTAATGTAGAGTTGCTAAGATTTAACAAAATCCATCATGCAATATTTCTTAAAATCCATCTTTCAAAATAAATAATGTAATAAAAGATTTTGTAAGAGCTTTTAAATACAATCAAAATAATGAATGGTTTAATATTAAAATAATTAAAGTAAAGATGATAATTAACAAGTAGAAACACTCCAAATACACTCTATTGTTGTGGGTCATTTTAAGCCATTATTTTGCTTAAATGCATAAAAATTATGCTTCAAATGGAGATATAAATGCATAAGATAATAATAATCTTAACCTTAATAGTTGTTCTTTTCATTTGCAAAGTTAATTTTTTTTTTAATCAATTGTGTAGTAGACTTAATATATAGGATTTCTTGTTGCAATTGCTTATATATGGATTTTGTTGAACTTCTTTAATTGTTTTGTTATAAAGCACATGTGATGTTTTGTATAGACAAATTTTAAATTTTGCATTTAGTTTGATATACAAAGTTTTAAGGATTAAACAAGAGTGTAAAGTTTAAAAATATTATGGTTTTTTAAATATAGATTTATACTATTGAAAGTAAAAAAATTATATTGATTTTGATTTTGATTTTTTTTAAATATAGTGTTAATAAATTATATTGATTTATATATTAACTTTATATAAATATTTTATTTATCTTTTGAATACATAAATCAATACAAAGTTTATATAAATACATATCAAATTAAATTTTATAAATAATTTTTAATTTCTTTTTATTATTTATTTTTAATTAATTTTTTAAAAAAAAATATCATGTATATCCCTCAAATATGCTAAAATATCAAGAATACCCTTGTATTCTTGATAATAGTAAATATATCCTTCAGATTTGTGATAATATCAAATGTATCTTTGTTAGTGATAAGTTATCACCAACATTCCTTATTTAGTTGTAATAAGGGGCTTAGACAAGAATGTTTTCAATGCTATTCAAATCCTAGTTCTTCAAAGAGTAGCCAATTTAAACATCTTTTGAATTTGAAATAGCAATTTGTGTAAACAATGGTGCTCTTTGCATGAATGTTGTGTAAAAGTGCTTGTTTGTTATGCACTCTAGTATAATCTTATACCCAATGCTATAGTTCTAGCTTCAAGAAGAAATCAAGTTGAAAATATTATAACATGCTTGCTTGTATTTTGTATCACCAAAGTGATCTTGTCATCTACCATTTTGCCTAAGCATCATGTATTGATTGAGGTCTCTATAAGGAATTGGATTAAATGCTATCATAGGGACAAGAGGCAATTCAAACAAGGAAGGTATTAATTGTTTAATTTGCAACTAATGCAAAAAAAAAAAAAAAAAAAAAAAAAAAGTTGTGAACTTGAATGCATGCAATCCAATTTAACTACCACACGAGCTCGACCAAATGCTTGAAATGTGTAGATGGTTTGCAATCAAACCAAGGAGTGTCGAGACATACACATAGTGCTTTCAATCTATAGTTATAATAACAAGTGCTTTCAATCCATATTATGCCAACATAGTTTGCATGAAACAAAAATTGTGAGTTTCTAGTTTCTCTTTTCATGTTCATGCAACTATTTTAGGAACACATGCCTAAGCTCCAAAAACGGCATCTTTTTTCTTATAGCAGACAAGAGTGCGACATCACTCTTACCACCAACTCAGAGTTAACAAATGCATGGTAGTGGTTGATAGATCTTTAATCTTGCAAATATACATCACAGGATGCAATTGGAATAATCTGAAAGCTTAATGTGGATACTAAGCGTGTGTTGCACTGCATTGGTGCAATCGATAATAAACAAGGAATGTTAAAAATAACTTATATATATATATATATATATATATATATATTTTTTATTATAAAGAATATAGGGATATTTTTGATATTTCAGCATATTTGAGGGATACATATATATATATATATATATATTATATTTTTTTAGTTTAAAAATGAAAATTAAGCATAAAAGTAGATTTTGAAATTGTCTTTAAAATAATACAAAAATCAAACCAATAAAGAAAAATATAAATAATTTAAATTGTAGTCAATATATATATATATATATATATATGTGTGTGTGTGTGTGTGTGAGTGTGTTTGTGTGTGTGTTAGAATATTTAATTAATAGAATTAGGGAGAGAGATTTTTAATAGAAAGACTAAAAAACTATACATTTTTCCATCAATGTTTTATAAGAATTGATTGAAAAATTATCATTGTTTTTTGAAGATTGTAATTTAGAGAGAATCAGTGTCTTATTTGCTGGAGTTTTGTAAAATTGAAGATTGAAGAATTTTGTAAATTTGAAGAATTTTAAAATTTTGTAAACTGATTCTACAAATTTCAAAATTACTTTTGAAGCTAGACCATTAGAAAATTAATACTTCAATGTGTAACTAATTTAGTGGCTTTTGCTTTGCTTCAAAAGTAACATGTTTAAGCAAGTTATTATTATATAGCAATATATACTACAATACAAACCACAATGTAAACAACATAATCAATAACCTTATGCACATACTTACTAACACTACTCAAAACTAATTGCAGTAATAGAAAAGAAAACACACACATACAAAATTAAAATATTTAAAGAAAAATCAAAATTACATACATAATCAAGAATAAAAATGCTTAATTATAAAATTGCAACAATTATATATATATATATATATATACATACTACATAAAACTTATTGTTTTGGTTTGTTGTAAATTTTAAATATTCAAGTATGTTTACATATGTGCACAAGAAATTTATTTTACTTTTAATTTCTTGCCAAAAGAATTTCAAAAAAAAATCATAATTCCTCTTTTTAACATCATAATTACTACTAGATATCATAATACAACAACTTATTTTTTAGAGTTCAATAATGCAAAAAAAAAAAAAAAAAAAAAAAAAAAGTACATACATATTTAACACATAAACTCTTGCTTCATGAAATCATTCCAAATCTCATTATCTCAGATAAAATTGGCCAAAAATAAAACTTTCATATTTAAAAGACATTAGACAATAATTACACAATTGGGAAATGTACAGAACAGTGTTTTATCTTGTGCTGATCAAACCTTCATCCACTTGGAACATGCATCTTCAAACAACATTCACCCCCTTTCTTTCTACTTCAAGCTTAACATGGATGTGATTCTTTTTATTAAGTTATTTGTGCTGAAAGTCTTGTATTTTATTTTTATTTTCACGACCAGCTGTTAGAATCCCAGTTTGAGATAAATTTCCTTACCCTGTCAATCATCATCAGACTATTGCTTGAGCTCTACACTCGCCCACAAAATCGAGCTTAATGTTGATAAACTAGGTTTCTGTTGATTTAATCTTTTTCATGCAAAGGCAATGTAAAGAGACGATTAGTACATGGTCCGCTGGTTAATGGTTTTAAGAACCTCTACAAAGCACCACAGAAATAAGAGATGAATAATCTTCAGAATTCACCTAAAATGGCTTTTTTCTTAAATAATGATTTTATTTGGTTTAAGTTACGAATTCGAGATGTGAATGCACATACAGATACATAGTTAAATTCTTTTGTTGGGGTGACAATATACTAGAATACTTTTCGAAAGTTACTCTTAAAACGCACTCCTAACAAATTTAAATATTTCTTTCAAAGCAGCAGTCACTTATTTCGAACATTCATTTTATGATATATAAAAAGATCATCATATCAACAGGACGTGAACACGAATAAAAGCCACATAGAAAACGTAAGATTATTGTCAAAATGTATATCACAAAAAACGATTACGCAAATAAATTTCAATAACAAGAGTTAAGAACTTGCAAAAACTATCATTTTCTCAAATAAGTAGTGTAGAATTCAAGTCAAATTTGATCTACCTGATCGTGCCATTGGAGTAGCGAGGGTTCACAAAGATGAACAAAAACAAATTGAGAAGTGAAAACCATCTTTGAATGCAATTTATTCATATAAACTAAATGTGAATAAAAAATACTGTCACTATTGTGACTACCAGAACAGATCAAAAGCTGCTTGCATGATCTAGAACAATCCATACCCATCCCTACTACCAACTAGACCTGGACGCTTACTAGCACAGGTGTTGGAAAAAGTGTCGACCTAAAAGAAGAAAAAAGAAGAAAAAAACCTGCCTCTGTACCATAGATACAAAAGTAACCTATTCTAGAAACTCCAAATAGGGCAGGGCTACTCCCCACCAAGCTAGAGGTACTCATGCACATTGAGCTAGGTAAATGTAGCTCCTGCTCCGTAACTACTTGTTCAAGTAAACTTAGCAATTCGTAGGTCTACCCTCCAAGAAGATAACCTACAAGCATGCCCAACAAGCCAACAAGTATAACAAACAAAAACGAAAATCCTGCTTGCGACTTCTGAGAGTCTTTTAGCGCTAAGCCACCACCAGATTTTGCGTTCCCGCTTTTGTACGCTTGCTGCAAACAAGATAACCATAAAGAGGTGAACTGAGGGTACAAATTATCTATCAGAAAAAGTTGTGACATCTCAATGTGATGGTAAGCAAACGAAAGCCAATTTTGATCCATCACCAACTCATAAGTAGGATTTCAACCAATATTAAATATTAAGAAAAAAACACATCAAATATCGAGATCATAATGGCAAATCAAACTAACCAACTCCTGCTGTAAAGTTCGCATTTGCTGTAGAGCTTGATTTCGGTCTTCAGTCAGGGCATTTAGAGAAGCTTTGGCCTGTAAAAATCCAAAAAAGTATTAGGGTATTTGTAAATAATAAAAACTGTCACTGTTAACACTAAGGTTAACTCAGCAACTAAGTGCTTTCTTCATTGCACGACAAAGTAGGCTTGCACGGACATCTAGAATGTTCCAAGAGCTCGTAGGCATCACACAGATACTGTCACAACAAAAAGATGCGGCTTGTCTGCGCTTCAAATTTTCAAATATAAATGAATTCGACAATATTAATCTTAAAACAATGTGGAAAATTTTAAGCGGCATACAAAGGTACGAATTAAAGTTCGCAGAAGCCGGAGCATACCTCATTCAGCTTAAACTTCCACTCGCTCTCAGTCTTTGTCGTCTGGCAAAAGAGATGAAAAAAAATCAGCTCTTCCTCTGCAATCCTTACAAAATTCGGTTCTTTTTACCAAAAAAAACCACAAAGCCAAAATACCAGGTGTGCATGAATACCGGGTCAGCAAGTAAATGGTGCCGATCGCCATTATCTACCGTTCCAGCAGCCTTCGGTGAGTTTCCCTCTTCTTCATTTGATTCTGTAATCGGTGATGGTGGTTGGGGCGGAGGAACATACACAACTTTAAGCTTAGCTTCGTGCACATCTTTTCCTTCTTCCTTGTTGAACTGCACAAGTCCATAAACATTTATGATTAAGGAATTAACCATGGAAAATAAGCACAAAAAGAGAAGGAAACACAATTGATATTTGAAGTTGTACTTTAAGAGCTGAGAGTACATGGTATATGTTCAGGAGGTCATGGTTCTCTCTAGAAACGTTACGTAAAGCAAGGAAGTGAATTGTCCGTTAGGAAAGGTATGGCTCAACATGCACGGCTACAGGTAAGCAGGAGAGGCTCTACAATGAGTTATAAAAATGGGGAGAGGACTAAGTCAAAAATTAAGGTTCCACAGAATCAAAACTGGCCATTCAAGGACCTACGGCGGCACTACAATGAGCAGAAAGATCTCACTGAACTCGCGATAATGAGAGCAAGTTAATCAAGATTGAAACTGAAAGACCAGGGCAAGTAACTGTACCATCTCTTGAGTAACCTCCACTGAGTTTGGTGCTATGACACTCTGGACAAGAAATTTGTCCTTGCATTGCATGTCTGGAGGGGCTTCTCGCTGGGCTTGCATTGTAACTGCACATGTACGACCACATTAAATTTAATCCCCACATCGATACAGGAAAGGAAACTTATTCGGAACACACACCTATCGTAGCATCATTTTTTAATTACAATTAACGGAATTACAACTTTCTGCACAGTGGATAGATGGAGTGTCAAATAGCTATTTATTACCCGTAACTTCTGCACTGCTATGAGGCTGAACGATGCCTGTGTTCGGCCGCACACAGTACTTCTTCGGGGAAGTAGTCTTGACCTACACGCGCAGAATAACGACCATATCAGGTAACTAATTTTTAAACACTAATTGCTGCATCTATGGAATGCAACACCTCAATATGATTCTCGACTTCTGACTCAAGTCATCGGAATGTTACTATTATCAATCAAACAACTGCACTACTCGAGTTATTCAAAGTTTAAAGAGCTGAATTCTCTCAAAAACCCTCATAATTCCAAAAGTTGGGTACTCCCTTCCCGGTCATAGTAAGAAACTGCTTCAAATTTCGAAACCCTAGCTGTCCAAAGTCAGGTAGGGTTAAACCCTAATGTTCACCTTGAAGGCCACATGGTGATCGGTAGAGTTGACTAGCCGAAGAGAAGATGATATCTGTTTCTTCAACTCAACTGTTGCATGGCAGAGGAATGCAGTTTCCATCAGCATAATAGATGATTAAAAGTGAAATCCAAATTTGGAGAAACAGAACCAAGATATGTAGAGTTATCTTCTACAGATACATCAAATTGAAGAGGCATCAAATACCTACTTAGACGCAATGCATCAAAAAAACTGCGAAATGCGGTACACATAAGTAGTGGCACTGTAAGCCTTGGTCACTAAATCCTAAGACTTGGTTAGCAGACACAACTGCATTACTGATCTGATCGTGCACACCTCGGAAGAAAGCTAACTATGACCTCACAAATTACTGTAGAAAAGCATGATTAGAGGACATAGAATAGTACTACAGATGTCAAATTTGTAGCGAACATCAGTGAAAAATGGATAACCCGAATAACTCTGGTACCTTCCCAAACCCAGACACGACCGTTACTACCGTTTGTTCATGTACAGATGATGTAAATCTAATTGAAGCATAACTAGCGAATTGGCAGCGCCACACTGTTAATGAGTGAGCTATATTTAATGGGCGCACAGCATGCTTCAACCAATAGTGGTCTGTGTATTAGTTGCAACAATAATAATGAGCAACCAGTGGTGAAAGAAAAAACGCACATGCAAACTTCAGATCCCCAGGCTGAATGCTGAGAAGTTCGGTGGGCATGGCTGCTACCACTGATTCAACCCTGTTCTTCAATGTGAACGAAGCGCCACTCAGACGCTCCGAAAAATGGAAGACGCCCAGATATCACTTTCTTGACCTCGGAGGGGGGGGGGGGGGTTACTGTACAACACATATCAACCAACGATTCATTTCATGAGAAATCCAGAGCACAAACCCACCGAGCCATACACGATTCATTTGCAGACGAACGATCGGAAAGAATCAAAAGATTCAGCATCTACACACATTCCACCAGACTCCAAGTGGTAAAAGAGATATGAAACTCTTGAACCCAAGATAGCCCAACCAGATAAACCACAGCTGATTGCACCATGTAAGCCCTCCAAATACATAAATAAATTTTTAAAAAAATATAAATAAATAAAAACAAATTTTAAAAAAAAATCGAACGTAAGATGCTATCAAATCCTACACATCACCAAGGCGAAGTAAATGCAACTTCACGAAAGGAATCGCAACTCCTTGTTTCAACTACTGCAACCATCAACCCCGTCCCCTTTTCTTCCTCTGACCTCCGACGGTCGCGAAAAATGGTACGGCAATATGACAACCACAACCTACACAACGATGACCCAACTCACACCTACGCAGCGAGTGTCTCCGGGGCACTTCGCCTTCACATCCGGGACATCCTCACTTCCTCAGATTCTTCTTGCCCCTGCTTTGCGTACGGTGCTGTAATCAGTGCACGAAAACCTCGCACTCGCTCTTACCCAAAAGCACCCATGTCACGAAAAACAGGATCCTATGCAGAAGAACCGCAGTGAAAGTCACTATGAAATTCCTGCTCCACTTGGTCAAATCTAACCCCGCGAACCCAAAAAAAAAAAAAAAAAAAAAAAAAAACCCTCGACCCTCCAAAACTCGCTCCAAAACGATGCCAAAAACACTCCCAAAAAAACCCATTAATTCATAAAATCGCAGCGCAAAGACGGCATCCGCGTCGACGAAGCGGACCGCACCTGCAAAGGAGCGCGCGAGGGGAGAGTCCAGATCGGCAGCACGCAGAGCTCCGACGACGGACGCAGAAGCAGCTAAAAATTCCATCGACAAAGCCACAAGATCAAGTCCCACGACGATAGAAGCCGGACTAGCTTGGGTCTGGTCCCTGTAGCCGTGTGGGGTCTATATCCGCGCCAACGTTCCACCAGGTGGGACGAGCGGGCCCCTTCCTGGGATCCCGGCCCGGCCCGGTGGGAATTGAAGGCCCACCCGCGGCGCTGATGCCCTTCACGATTCCTGCATCTCTTGCACATTTCTTGCTCTCTCTCTCATAGTTCGCTTTCCAATGCCCTTTTATGGCACTCGCGGCGTTGCAAATTTCCCTCCATTCGCCTTCAAACCAGCCACACGCATTCGCCGTTCTGCTCTCTCGCGACCTCCACGCCGCAGTAACCGAGAATCCGTGGGATAAAGCAGTGGATTTTGGCGGAAGGAATGAAGGCGTGGAAGGTATTCATGCAGCATTCTCCCTCTTCCTCGTCCTCCTCCTACCCAATTGAAACCCACTCCCAGTTGCCTGCCTTTGATGGCTGGCGCTTGACGATTAGGCTCCACAGCGAGTGCCTTGCCACTGCCGCGCGTGGGCGGTTGGGCGCGTCGCAACGGCATTGATTCGGGAAGAAGCTGGCTGTGATTCCACGTCGGATGTTATTACTGCCCATTCATTGACGAGGGCATGGGAGTCGTATTTGTTGTGGCCCTAATTACCGTGTGTGTGTGTGAGTTGTAATAGCTTCCAGAACAGAAGCTTCTAGAAAAGAAAACAAAAAAAGAAAACACAAAAAACACTCTTTCTGGTCACATGACAATGTGGGTTCATGACTAAATTTTCCCCCTCACATATGCTGTTTGTATTCCTCAACTTTGTGTATTGATTCTTGTGTTATTATAATAATGGTAATATGAGACCAGGATTGGAGATTACAGGTGAGTTTCTCATGTTACTTGTTGCAACGCTTAAACATATAGTACATTATATTTGGACAAGCCCATCATGACATACATGCATAATAATTTTTTCTTCAAAGAACTGTATGTCGATTTATGTTTTTTTTCATTCAATCCAAGTTATCCTTGTTGCCATATCACAAGCTACTAGATGTTACCAATTTGAAATGAGAAGCTAGTTCTCATCAATGCCCAATCCTCACATTTGAGTGTGTTTATCCATTGTTCTTTTTAGTGCTTACTGTTGAGATGTGGGAAGGTTCTTAGGCTTGTTACTGTCTAAAAGGGTTGGAAATTTGTAATCTCTTAAGTTTGTCAAGGTAGGTTTTAGTGGGGCACAACAAATGTGTATGATTTTTTTTATGTTTGCATGTGTGTACATGTACACACAGAAGCACTTGTGCATGTGTAAAAAAATCTCACATTTCTAAAACATTATTTTTAGAGATGTGTGTTGATGATTATCTCTCCCTCTATATATATATAGGTTATGTTAAAATAGAAAATAGGAAATAATTGTATTTTTCAACGCAAAATAAATGTGTCTTTTTCTTTTTATGTTTGCAAATGTATCAAGAAATTACTATGCTATCAAAACATTTTATGTTTTGCTGTTACTAACCTTGGTTCAATATAAGGTTTATCTATTTTTATTCATAAGTGCATTGGTATGTTTGTATATATATGTGCTACAAAATCCCATTGAAGCCATTGCACATGTATTGAAATTGGAATATGATCATTCCAAGAAAAATGAATGTCTTTAATATAGGGCATGAAGGGTGAGCATTTAAAATATCATTTCATTTACAATCCACAGCTCATCATTTCCAAAATCACCATTTATTTATTTATTTATTTTGCTAGTGCCCGATCTTTTTGTTTTTGTTTTTTTTTTAAAATCCCTCTACACTTATCTTTCAACATACTCATTCTTCTTTCATGTGATTAAGACACATGGACTAAACATGAGTGTGGAATGGTCCTCCTTTCTTCACAATGGGACACACCTTGAGTTCCATTCTATGCTCCCCTTGCCACTTATAACAGGGGGCAAAAATAAATAAATAAATAAATAAAAACAAAAAAAGAGGAAAAAAATGAAGTAAAAGTGAAAGGATTGAATATACAGATAAATAATAATAAAGAGGTGGATATGAGGAATCATCAATGATTGGCCAAGGCAATGTCCATGTGGACCGTAGCCTTGAGTATAAAATCCACACGGTGACGATCTCATCCACAGAGACGCAACGAACGCCATCCGTCCATGAAGTGCACGGTGAAATCGATGGATAAATTACACGGTGGATGAAAACAATGACACAAGGTGCCAGTGAAGCAAAGAGGAACTTTCGTAGCAAGAGAGCCCGAGATCCCAGTTGGCCTGAAACGAACAGGTGGGTGACGAGTCATTCCGTCCGTTCGTCAGTACCGCCTCGGCCCCGTACAAGAGAAGAGAGCGTTGGAGCTCACTAAAGCAAGCAAGGCCTTTGTATGGATGGCACAGCCGGAATTCTGTGTCGTCTCACCACTCTCGCCTGTCTCCAGTTGTCCATTCGGCAGCGTACACAACAAACCCAGTAACAAACAGAATAACCTAGTCCTGTTTCTCACGCGTGGCGGCGACTTCTCAGAGCAAAACCGACCTCTCCACGCAGAATCTCTGCTTCGCTACTTGCCAGTACTCCTCTTCAACCCCCTTCGACTTTTCCCTTCTCATTGCCCTGTTGGGCTGGGTGACTGTGGTAGAGAATTCGTGCCAGGGTTGGGTCAATTTCCAACAGTAGCGAGTTTTTACATTGCGCCAGAATTAGTTTAACAGCAAACACCAGCTGCTCTTCTGTACCCATAACGTGAACATAAAAAAAAATAATAATAAAAATAAAATAAAAACAAATCATCAAGCGAAATGAACACGAGCCAAGCGGCGCGGCAATCCCGAACTCGACACCATTTACCCACAAAGAACGATTGATCGTGAAGCTGCAGAAGAGCGCAGTTCTAATGGATAAGACTTTTCATTCCTTCCCTTCACGAGGATTTAACCATTCTAATGGCTTCATGCGACACTCCTTCATGGGCTGAATATTAAATGCAGCGAGCGAGAGGCCATGATTTGATGAGAGCGGTGCAAAGGCTGCTTCGGGATTCCCCCCCTACCGTTACTGCGCGGCTTTAAACGCCCTGCTGCTGCAGAGGACACGAGCAGAATCTCGGAAGCGTCCATGAGAAGTCGGTGCTTTCACTACGTCACTCGAATCCCTTCACGACAAGAACGAGGCCATTCAAACGCTGTCTCATCGGCACCTCGGGGAGGGGGGTCACAACTGCCTTCGGGCACGGTTATACCCCCTCATAGAACTCTAAAACTTCTTCTATTTTGAATTCTTAATTATTATTGACTTTTATAAGAAGAAGTGATATTTGTCTTCTTTTCAAAATATTCACTGTTATATGATCTAAAAAAAGATACATAGAATATAAGATGAATCTTCACAGACTTTGAAAGATATAATTAATAAGCAATTACATTCATTTGTTTATAAATGAAAAATGGTCAAAGTTTATGGTTTATCACAAGTGTGATTAGTCTTAATATTGCAATAAAATAATCATACTTTGTTATCAATGTTGAATTGAGGTTGCTCTTTGTATTAGGCATCTGTGTTGGTTTTTTATTATTCTTGAGCTTCTTTTAATTTTGTCTTCTGTGAGGGTTAATTTTCCCCTTATCCCAAATTATAAGATGGCCTCAATTAAGAATTGCTTGTAATTGGTGGTATGAAATAGAAATAGCAATAAACAAGAACAAAAGAAGAATAACACAAAACAAGTGAAATAAATGCATTCAAGCAATCGTACATTACAAAACTAGTCATAGTCTGTTTACTAGATTTTTATTCAGAAAAAAATAAAAGTAAAAAATAAAAAATATATTTTTAGATAGATAATTTTTTTTTATCTTTCCAATGACATAAAAGTCATGTAATTCCAAGTTATTATGAGTAAGTTATGATAGATTAAATATATAATATAAATAATAGAAAAATCAAGTGAATAATTTTTACCTCAAGGGTAACTTGCTTAAGAAACCAGGAGCTCGAGCCTCATCAAGGCTCACAAGTAGTACATATTGGTCGTCTAAAGAGACCTTGAGGCCTTAGTCTTATCTTCCTACCTATACCCAAGGTGCTACAATCCATATGGAAATTGTACACCTCTCTTCCTACAAGGACTATACTAGCTATTGGTCTTCCTATTTTCTACTAATAAAACTATTTTATTTTTTATTTTTTATTTTTTTTTTCATTTTTGACTTCACCAAGGTATTCAAAAATATCCAATTGGCTTAGAAACCTTGTATAGTCTTCCTATCTTGCTTCCTTTCTTCATAATGACTCTCAAGGTGGTAAAACTCAATTTTACCAAGGTCTTGAAATTTTCTCTAAAAATTCATAAAAAATCCTAAATAATTTAAAAATGAATTCCAAAAAATCCTATGGTATTTCTATAATACTAATATCCATATAAGACTATATTTTTTTATCTTTTTTATTTTTTATAATAATAAAATCAATTTAAATCTACTAAAAATATTATTTTTTATATAATTAATTAAAAAGACATGAAGTTCTTTTTCATGCTTCTTCTAACCACTAACTAATCATTGATAGGATTTTATAAGTAATACATGTAGATAAGAAGCTAGTGAAGCCATTGGTCTCAATTACTAATCATTAATATTCAATAATGAATGGAAATACTATACCAACTAAGATAATTGCCTCCAAGACTTACTAAGACTCCATTTTTATAACTTTTCTTCTAATAAGACTTTTATACTTATAAATACTTCTAAATTCTAATAAATATGTAAATAATCAAAAAGACTCCCTAACCTTAGTATTTATCTCATTAAATGACTTAATACTATATTTTTAACCAATCTACCAATTAAAATCCATTGATGGGATTCACACCTTTATTATTATATGTAACTCAAATAAATAATTTGTCAAATCTTTTGTCATAAGATTATCAACTTTTACAAAGTCAAAAATATTAATTTATAGATAATAATTATAATCAGCAAAAAAAGATATTTGTTGTATAGAAGAATGTACCATATTATTATAA